TCCAACTTTTCAGTCACTTAAGTTTATAGTGTTCTGCCAAGGCCTGCTACCTGTCTTGTGCGCTTACGTCTGCGGAGTAATTCCTTTTCACTAGGTCAATGCCGTCGGGTGGCCGATGTTATATTAGCGAAGTTTCCTACAGTCACCTGAGCGGGCAGGCCGGTCAAAAGTTCCAACCCGCTGCAGAGGCACGACACATATATCAGAGACTCTGATTCAGAGCCGAGAAGGTATGGACGGATCATGGTAAAGAAGTCTCAGAGAGAATTCCTCGAGCACATCGGGTAGGATGAACCCATCCGATAGGTTCAAATAACTTATTAACTTAGTTTCTTACCTAACTGTTTTGAGTTGATGAGTCTGATATAGAATTTAAGCCATCGACTCGCAACTTGCGAGTCGCAAGCATGTAGCATTAAGCGATATCAAATCGATATATAGTCTGCTAGTGGAGTGCAAGGTCTAGGCTAGTGAATATGTACCACTAGGTCTATATGGCCACGTGGTTAACCTGTATGTTCACGAACCGAAAGGTCCCAGGATCTATTCCTGGGTCCGACTCTTACACTGAGCCATGTCCCACTTTAGCTGGTAAAGCTACTGATCGATTAAGCTATATTAGCTGTACCACTATTTGAAACTACTATTGAACCATCAACTTACTACTCTAGGTTTTCTTGTACTTTCCTAATGTTCTCCCCAGCATTGCGTTCAACTGGTGCCCAGAACCCTAGCTCGTCGAGCGGAGGCTCTGGTAGCGTGAATGCTCCCCGTGCACGTCAAGTTCGCCCTCTCTCTGATTTCTACAGAGAAGACGAAGATGACGCCGGGGATATCAACAATGATCCCGATCACGAAGGTGGCGAGGCATTGTATATAGATGATAATGTTTCAAGCCATCATAGTGATGATGAGATAGATAATGCGGAGCGTCCTCAGGAAGAGGTTACTAAGCCCGTGAAAGATGGAGCGCCTGAAAAGCGTAAGGAGGTCTCGGATGACACCAGGCCATCATCCTTAGTCGAGGCTTCGAAAGCTCGACGGATGGTTGAGCTTCGTAAGAATGCCGTGAAGTTCAGTGGTGGTGCTAATGA